TCATAGCATAATAACGACTCAAGGGACTCAAAAATCCGGAATTTCGGATAATCCTTCTACTTAAACATGTTTAAAATACATTTTGTTTTGCAGACTTCTTGCATACTTTTTTCTGCATGGTTTGATGTACTGATGTTTTTTAGAATGACACTTATAAATCATAATTACTTGTTAAATAAAAAAAATATATAAATAAAAACGAACTCCAAATATTGTATGAGGTTTTCTTTTTTCTTTCCTCTTTTCCAAATTATAAGGAAAAAGTAACTTGAAAAAAATCTCAAATGACTTAGCTTATTATAGAACAAAGATCAAATGAGCTCTTGTGTTTATAGCACATTGTTGTAGAACTGTGGTAAAATGTACTGAACTTTTTCCATTAGGGATAATCTTTTACATAGTAATATACTGATACAAGATCATCTTAGCTGCCTTCCCTTTGGAACACTCTTTGGCCACTTAATTTATTCATTTCACAAATAATGTGCCTCTACTATGTGCAAGTCACTATCAGTCAGGCTAGCAATAGAGTTAGAGTAGTGAACAAGATACTTTCCTGCCCTGGTGAAGCTTAGATTCCAGTGGGAGATATGGGAAATAAACAGAGTAAACAAGTAAATTACAGGATATACTATGATTACTCCTATCTAACATTGTAAAATATTAACTCAAAATGGATCAAAGAACTAAAATGTGAGAGTTAAAACTGTAAAACTCTTAGTAGAAGACATAGGAATACATTTTTATAACCTCAGATTGGGCAAAGAATTCTTATATATGACACCAGAAGCCCAAGCAACAAAAGAAAAGTAGATAAATTGGTTTTCATCAAAGTTGAAAATTTTCATGCATCAAAGGACATTATCAAAATAGTGAAAAGATAATCTGAAGAATTGGAGAAATATTTGCAAATCATATATCAGATAAGAGTCTAATATGTAGAACATATAAAAAATTCTTATCACTTAACAACAAAAAAAAAGATGAACATCATAGTTAAAAAATGGGTAAAAGAGTTACACAAACATTTTTCCAAAGAAGATATACAAATTGCCAACATCTATATCTAAAGATGCTCAATGTCATTAGTCATTAGGGAAATGGAAATAAAAATCACAACAAGACATCACCTCACACCCACTAGTATGGTTATAAAAAGAAAATAAAAAACAAAGTAAGTGTTGGCAGGATGTGAAGAAATTGATAATCTCTGTATACTGTTTGTGGGAATCTAAAATTGTGCAGCTACAGTGGAAAGCAGTTTGACCGTTCCTCAAAAAGTTAAACGTAGAATTACCACATGATCCAGCAACTCCATGCCTAGGTGTATACCCCAAAGAATTGAAAACAGGTGTTCAAACAAAACTGTACAGGAATGTTCATAGCAGCATTACACACAATAGCTAAAAGGTGGAAGTAACACAGATGTCCATCAACGAATACATGGATAAAGCAAATGCAGTATACCAGAACAACGAAGTATTGTTCAGTCACAAAATGGAACCAAGTACAAACAAAAGCTACCATGTGGATAAACTCCGAAAACATGACTCGAGGTGAAAGAAACCAAACACAATAGACCACATCTGGTATAATTCCATTTATATGAAATTGCCCGAGTCGGCTGTAGCATAGGTGATAGAATTTGATGAAGGATTATATATGCTATATTAGAGCAAGAAGAGTGATGAATGACTCCAAAATCTTTGGTTGGAATAACTGGAAAGATGGAGTTGCCATTCGTTGAGATGAGGAGCGTTGGGGGAAAATGAAGAACTTGGTTTTGGAGAGAAGTTCAAAAGACCTATTTGATGCCCCAGGGGAGGTGTTGAGTAGGTAGTTGGATATTCTATTCTGGTATCCAGGGGAGTGGTCTGAGCTCGATTACATTTAAAACTGTACAACTTGAATCAAGTCACCAGAGTGGTTAGATGTGAGGAGAGTTACAAAGACTGAGAGCTGGGACATTTTCACCTTTAGAGCTGGGGAGCTGAGGGGCTGCAAAGGAGCCTAAGAAGAAGCCAGCTGGGCTTTTGTCCCATTCTGATGGCTCTAACAATCATTTTTCTTCAGGTAATTATTAAATCTAAGTCACCAGCTCCAACCTCTCCCTAAGCCCTGGATTGCATTTTTTTGCTGTCATTCGGACACTCTAACTTGGTTCTGGCAGAACCTCTAACTCAATATAGTATGTTGCTGATTCTCTGTCAACCCCTCTGTACTATTCAGTCCTCATTCCTGCTTTTCGTGTGCATTCCATGGGGAATAGCAGCACCATTTTCTCAACGACCCGGGCTTGAGACATCAAAAACGCAGATGACCCGTTCTCCCTTATCCCACATCGTAATTCTGACTCTCACCTAGACACTCACCTGGACCTTTACAAGAGGTTTCCAGGATATCTTTCCTTCCTCTCGCTCTCCCTTCCAACCAGTCCTGGGTACTGTTGTAAGTTTGAAGCCGATCTCAGTAATGTTATTCTTCTCGCAAACCCCTTAATGTTTCCTCTCTGCCTACCAGATGAACATTTCCAGGCCTTTCCAAATGCAACCACATCTTTATTTACAATCTTGTGTTCATTTACCCTGTAGACACACTCCTGCAAACGCCAAACTCTTCTGCTTGTTGTCCCTTTCCTATCACTCTATCTTCCTCCCTAATCTTTATCTAAATCCTAACCATCTTTCAAGGCCCATTTCACATGTGCATTCAAACCTGGAGCACATAACTTTTATTATCCCCAGGCCACATGCTCCTGAGAAGGGTTTACATTTGATATTTCTTATAACCCAGTGAGGTTTGGTTCGTTTTGTCAGTTGAGAAGCTAGGCCTCTCTCTCGTAACAACATCAGGAGTTTCTCTTGGGGGAGCTATTTATTCCATATTCTTCTCCTGGATGATTTGGGGGGTACCAGGCGTATTCTGTTTGGTAGAGAGACAGTGATGGATTCTAGGCTTGCCCAAACCATTCTGCTAAAGCTTCAGGGATGGACAGGCCACACAAGCTGGGCAGGTGAGTCACTTTTGATCCTTTACCCTGTTTTATTTTTTTTAATAGCCCTTATCATGAATAATTTTACAGACTTATTTCTGTATTTGTCTAATATATGTTTCCCCTCCTAGAATATGAGCTCCATGAGGGCAGGTGCCTTGTCTATTTTGTTTATAGTTACTGTATCCTCTAAGTCTGGAACACTGCCTAATACTTTCTATGTGTTTAATATTTGCTAAGTGAATAATGACACCAGGTTTACTGCAAGAACTATTAGGGAAAAGACTTGCTTAGCTCTGGGTTTGACGATCTGGCAGAAAAAAGTATGGAACTTGGAGTGGTGATTTTGCCACCACATAGAGGAACCTGCCTGAGAATGAAGCCAATCCTGGGCCAAGATATAACCAAAAGACGGATATCTGTCAACATGATTTGAATGCCTGAACTCAGCTGGGTGTGGACTTCCTAACGCTTGAAGAATTTGCCTTTTGTGAAGCAATATATTCATCTCTTCCCCACATTTTTTTTTTCCTTAAGCCAGTTTTAGTCATCTGCAGTAGTCATGATATACCATTTATATTGTACTCCAATTTGTATAGTGTATCTTAGAACTGGAAAATTTTTTAGCTCCTCTGTTAGATGTCAGCTGCCTGAGGGTAAAGACTATATCACTATACTCATCTTTATATTCATATAACACTGACCCACTGATTTCCTGTAGTCACCTGGTAAACATCTGATCAACGTTAGTTGAATTAAAATAAAATTATCTGTCTTCATGTGGAAGTCAGAGATATGTTTTCTTACATAATATCTTGAAGAAAGGTATTGATATTCCTGAAGAAAATGTTTGCAGTATGTCCCCATTTCAGTGTTCTTGAAAGGATAAGCTTCCACCTCTTGAAAATATTTTCACTAACATTTTATACTATATTCTATAATAATATATTAATCATGTTGGAATTTTGGATGAATCAAAAAAGCTTGTTAAAATTTGGCTCCTTATCAAAAGCCTGGGAAAAATTACTGAAATATCTCTGAGTTTGTAACTTAATATGGGTGCTTCTTCGGTGTGCATGGATTAAAAAAGGGGGGGTTCTACTCATTTAACAGAAAGCATGACGTGTTTTTGGATTCGTAGATTCATGTAGTCCTAATGGTCTGCTCTCAACATTCTCATATTTTGGCCTATATTTCTGCCTATGAAATTTGGGCCAAATGAAAGGTTATGGCTGTGCCCGAGTTCATTAATTCTCTCTCGCTCTTGCTAGCGACCAGCAGTACCTATGGGTCTGCTGTCCAGAGTTAGAAGTCAAATGATCTCCCTCGGCAAGAAATCAGCAGTTTTGATCTCCAAAGCTCAGGGTCTTAAATGAATTAAAATAAGCAGCCAAAGATAAGAAGGTAGTCTATTCTGGTTCATTAGTATTTCAAGAAAAAGGAAACAAAGACCGTATGCTCGAGCATACCCACATGCCCATGCCTTGCCTCCTCATTCTCTGCGTCCTTGTCACTTGAACCTTAACGCACGTACGCCTGAAATTGTATTCTAGCCAAGAAGTCAGAGAAATGTTTGACCCAGAAGGAGATTAGAGATCCTTGGGTGCAGAGCACAGACCTGAGGTGTGCTAGACACCCGTGCTCTAGGGAGAAGCCTGAAGCATTAGACCACGCCTGCCTTCTATGCTCACAGGCAGTGTCTGACACATGGTAGAGGCTCCGCAACCTGTTATTTTGATGAGTAAATGAATAGAGCCCAGCCACTGTCCTTGAGGCAGAATTATAGTCTATAAAACTCAACTTGTTTTTTGTTTTGTTCTGTTTTGTTTTATTCTTTGAGGTTTTTCTAAGTGGATTTGGTACTGCTCACTGATTTAACAATAATTAGAGTCAAGATTTTTCGTATTACATTTCACTGATACATTTACTGTTGCCTGTCAAGATTATTATTATTGTTATTATTTTTAGGGCAGTGCTCCATAAAGTCAGAAAACAGCTGCTCAACACCTTTTTTTTTTTATAATTTCAATTTATTCATGTAGAAACCTCTCAGACTTATTTTCCCCTCTAGGTTAAGAAACCGTAACTCCTCAGAAACCCCCAGCATTCTTTTTTTTTTTTTTTCCTAATTACCTTTCTCTGGATAATCTCCAGTTCTTCCAAGTGCTTCTTTCAAGGGTGTAAAAATCCATTACTGCAGGCTTTCTTGGACAATAACAATTCTGTCCTTGCCCTTTGGTTGACGGAGTAATGTGCCCAACGTTATGGTGATGTGAGGGCCGAGGGACCCGAGAGTTGTTTTCTCCCCATACTCAGTTGCCAGTTTAAATACTATCAGTGTTTCCAAATTTACTGCACTGTGGTCTCACGTTGACTGAAAATTCTTATATGGAAGCAAAAGTTTTTTTTTACCATCGTCTACCAGTTCTTGTAATATGAGAGGCAATTTTCCAATTCTTGCAAACACATCTGTAGAGTGGCGCCTCAACGTCAGGTACCACAGTTCAAGCTTGTTTAAATGGAAGAAGCTGGTCAAGTACCAAGCACCTGCTCTAAGTATCCCACATGGTTTTCCTCCCAGAAGGAATGACCCATCTGAAGCAGCTGTGGGTAATTTTATTCGCCAAAACAAGCTGGAAGCAAAAAGGAAAAATAACATAATTAAAATCTTAAATGGAACTCAGTACAATCTCCTTAATAAGCTACAAAGCATTTAAATAGCTAGTGTGCCTATGTTCTTGCCAGTATTACCACATCATCAAGAAAGTGAAAAATGGACATACATGTTATTCATTAAATCCTCAAAGGTAGGAAACTTGTGGGCTGATTAATTCAAGTAGGTAATTGAAGCCAAGACGTATGGATCACTTGATGGAAAATAACCAAGTAAATCCATCGCTAGCTCACCTGTCTGCTCGGTGTATGATATAGAAGATACATATATTAAATATATTTATTATATATAATTAAATATATATTTAATATTCAATATTTTATTTATTTGAGAGGGGAGGGGCAGAGGGAGAGAGAAAATCTCAGATTCCCCAATGAGCATGGAGCCCAACACAGGGCTCAATCTCACAACCCTAAGCTCATGACCTGAACCAGAACCAAGAGTCAGATGCTTAACTGACTGAGCCACCCAGGTGCCCCGAGAAGACATATATATTAAAGGATGCTATTAGAAAAGGATACATTTGCATCCTCATAGAAAACTCAGAGCAAAATTATGGGAGTTATCAAGTCAGGGAACATTTCCTGAATGCCCACTCATTGTTGTGTTTCAGGCACATTGTTGATTGCTGGTAGTATTCTCTCAACTCCAGAATGCTAAAATTTAGTAAGGAAAATGTTCAATAGAAAATCAGAAAATTCCAACAATCAGTAAGCCAGAAACAATTTATAGTAGGTAACTAAAAACTCCTCCCGTTCCTGTATGGAGATGGCTTTATGACATGATCTTGCTGGTCCTCTCAACCAGTGAACTTTATTTCTTCACCATTTGAATCTGGACTTGCCCTTGTAACTTGCTTTGGCCAAAGCAACGTTAGTAAATGTAATTCAAGCAGAGGTTTGAAAAGTCTGTACGTTGAGACCTGTGACGGTTGGTTGTTTTGTGTGTCACTTGATTGGGCTAAGGGATGTCCACTGAACTTGTTAAATATTATTTCTGGGTGTGTCTGTGAGGATGGTTCCAGAAGAGATTAGCATTTGAATTGGTGAAAGACATGGCATTCTTCAATGTGGGTGGGCATCATCCAAACCCTTGATGGCCTTACCTGAACAATAAAGAAGAGGATGGGCAAATTCACTCTCTCTCTTCCTGAGCAAAGACAGCCATCCTCTCCTGTTCTTGGTTCTCAGGCCTTCAGATGCAAACTGAGTTATACATTTTGAGAACAAAATGGTTCTCCATTTTGTAGATGGCAAACTGTGGGACTTCTCCACCTCTGTAACCACATAAGTCAATTCCTATAAAAAAATCCTCTTATATGTGTATCTCTATATATCCTATTGATCCAGTTTCTCTGGAGAACCCTATTCTAGGGTCTTACTCTTTCTCCCTGCTGGAAACCCTGAGAACTCCAAGTGAAGAAGCATGGGCTATTCTAGGAGAGAGACCAGAGAGAGAGAGAGAGAGAGGGAGCAAGAGAGCAGCTCAAGCACTTCATTCTCTCTATTCAAACATCATGCAGAGAGAGGCTCAGCTATTTCACCCATCATGGCCACAGCCCCAGACATTTCAGTGAAGCCAAGGTTGACCACCCAGCCCTCAGCTTAACCACCCTAGACCAGAATTGCCAAGACCCCCACGGAAACATGAGAAATAATAAATTGTTTTTGTTTTAAGTCACTAAGTCAACAGCAAAGGCTAATTGATACACAACAAAATAATTATTTACATAATTAAAATTCAACTGTAAAATGTGATATGTGGTGGTGGAATGATTAGAAGAATTATACAAAGATGAGGTTGGGCTAGAAAAGCCTCAAAAGCCAGTGAGGTTTGGTGATTTTGTGCAGAGCATTTTGCAAGGATTTTTTTTTCTGCTTCATTTTCATCCCCAAACCATCTGAAAATCCTGGTCACTTTATATTTAGATTCCTGCAAACACCTTCTTATGCATCTTCCATAAGATTTGTCGTTTTGTCCATAATCCAAATAAGTATGCTTAGAGCCATTTGAGTTATATATAAATTCTTTGAGGAATGGAACTATATTTAGTATCAAGATTTTTTGATTGTTCAAATAGAGTATTTCAGCTTAGAAGCTAAATAGAAAATGTGGTGACTTTAAAGTACGTTCACTGATTCCTTGACCACCACCCCCCACTTCAAAAGATGGAGCCCATTTGCGAAGTAATTAGTTTTCCAATCAAGCTAATCTGTTTAGTGGGTCTCTGCATAAAATTTTGTTTGCCTCTTGCTCAATTGAAAAAGGCTGGACTTAGGGACTTGCTTCTCATGAATAAATTATAGCGGAAGGGATGCCAAGTGACTTCTGAGGTTAGGTCATTGAAAGGATAGAGTTTCTTTCCATCTTGGATCATTCACTTTGGAGGAGGGCAGCAAACTCAGGGCCATCGAGTAGTCCTATGGAGAGGCCCACCTGGTGAGTGACTGTATCTCCCCCCAACAACCAGAACCAACTTATCAATTCATGTGAATGAACTACCTTGGAGAATGATTCTCCAGCCCACGTCCCAAATCACAGCCCCAGCCATTATGTTGACCACTACAAAATGAAGGGCTGCAAGGCGGAACCATCAGCTCAGCTGCTCCTTAATTCCTAGCCCTAAGAAACTCTGAGATTTAAAATGTTTCTTGTCTTAAGATACCAAGTTTTAAGGTAATTTGTTTTATAGCAATAGATAACTAACATGGTCCTTTTAAAAATAAAGATTATAAATCAATCAATCAAATTTTGGTCCAACAGCTACAGCAAGGAAAGTTCCAATCCTTTACCTTAAGAATCCAAACGTGGATTCACACACATTTTTAGTATTTTACAATGACATAATGCCATTATCTAATCAGCAGACCTTATTCAAATTGTGGCAAATGTTGCAATAATCTCCTTTAAAGAAGGACATTGATCACACATTACAGGTAGGTATTATGCCTCTTTAATGCCCTTTAATTTTGAAAAGTCACAAAGCCTTTATTTTTCTTAAATCGAAAACAGTATTTGTTTTCTTTTTCAACTTTATTAAGGTACATTTAATATGCAAAGAGTTGCACATATTTAATGTATGTACATTAATGTATATATTTTGGGTTTGGCTATTCTGCATATACCCATGATACCATCACCACAAACAGTATAATAAACATACCCATCACCTCCAAAAGATTTCTTGACTCCCCTTGCTTCCCCCTCACCCCTTCCCGTGGTAAGAACACTTAGCATGAGAGTTCAGGATAGATAAATATATAATGACAGAAAGTAGCTTACAGGACAACTAGGAAGTGATTGCTAAAAGGTATGGGTTTCTTTTTGAGATGATGAAAATATTCTACAATGGATTGTGGTGATGGTTGCACATCTGTGTGAATATACTGAAAAGCATACACTTTAAATGGGTGAATTATATAGTATGTGAATTCTATCTTGATGAAACTGTTACAAAAAACTTCAGCTAACTGAACACTGACAACATGCTTTCAGACTCTTTTTTAATTTTTTAAAAAATATTTATTCATTTATTTGACAGAGAGACACAGCAAGAGAGGGAACACAAGCAGGGGGAGTGGGAGAGGGAGAAGCAGGCTTCCTGTGGAGAAGGGAGCCCGATGTGGGGCTCGATCCCAGGACCCTGATATCATGACCTGAGCTGAAGGCAGACGCTTAAGGACTGAGCCACCCAGGCACCCCTCTTTTTTAATTTTTAAAAAATTTTAAAAGACTTATTTATTTTAGAGAGAGAGAGACCCTGTGGGAAGGGGAGGGGCAGAGGGAGAGGAAGAGAGAGACTCAAGCAGACTCCATGCTGAGCACAGAGTCCGATATGGGGCTTGGTCTCACGACCCTGAGATCACAACCTGAGCCAAAACCAAGAGTTGGACGCTTACCCGACTGAGCCACCCAGGTTCCCCCAGACTCTTAATTAATGTGTATGGTGTAGATACTAACCATTTCATCTGTGATTGTTAATTTTCAAATTTATGTTTCATGTTAGATTTGTGTTAGAGTATACATATCATAAACTTCAGGAATAAAGTTTCCCAAAGAAAGTTTTATTAGAATCACAAGACTAGAGTTGGTGTAAGCAGAGCAGGTTCTGGATTAGAGTTTTTGCTCACACTAACCGTGGATCCACTCTTCTCATACAAGCCAAGACATCATAACATCACAAGGCAAGAACAAGCTACATCACTAGCTAAATGAATCAAATCTTGAAAAGTTAAAGGCTTTTTTACTTTTCAAAATAAAATAGATGGAACACTATTCCAGAACTCTGGGGACAAAATCTTAGAATACAGATATTGATGTTGTTATTTAAACCATGTTTAAGCATGCATGCCATTATAATGGCCCTACACATCACCAAATCAGCTCAACCCCAAGACACTTTCCTGGATGGTTTCTCCATGTCTTTTTGTCTATATTTTCTTTTCTACAATCTATCACTAAAGGCTTCTTATCCATTCACTACAGTCTACAAGCTATCACTTCTATCTTCTATAATATATCACTAAGCATTATTAATTATTCCTTAATAATGTATTAAAGGCTATTGTATTTCCTCAATCCACAAATATGTGGCCTACTTTAATGTTGAGAGACAGCTTCTCTTGGTGTATTGTCACCCACGTATGATAGGTTTATGTACTACTTAAGGCCCTTCAGGTCCAGAGATTCTTTAAATTAGTGTAAGATTGGGAAAAGAGGCGAAGATGGTTGGAAGGACAGGCAGACTTGATTTGGGGAGGCTCTAGGGAGAAGAAGAAGGGCGGAAAAATGGCACAGAAGAAAAGGACTGGGGTGTGGGGGAATGGGGCATGGCCGGCAACTGCTGTAGTGGTTTCTTTTTCTTTTCCTTGCTACAAATCCTCGGTGTTGATGGCAACCTCTTTCCATCACTCCCTTCCCAAGACACTTCCCTTGCTTAGGCTACACTTGAGATTCCTG